CGGAAACGCCTCGAGGCCGCGGGACCCTCCGGCCGCGGAGGGAGGGGCAGGAAGGAAGGAGGGAGGGAAAGAGGAGGCCTTGCCGCCGCCGCCGCCGCCGCTTCTGGCCGTGGCGGCTTTCCCCGCGGCCTCCGCCTCTTTTGTTCCTGCGGGGCCGGAGGGCGGAGCGGCGGCGAGGGAGGAGGAGGGGGCTTCGCGTGGCGGCAGCCGCCGCCGCCGCCGCCGTGGTAGCTCCGCCCTTGCTGAGGTGAAGCTGGGAGGCCGCGGAGGATGGGAGGCCACGCGGAAATCGCAGTCGAAAGAGGGGCTCTCCCTGGCCCCGGCGGCGGCTTTCAAACGAGCCTGACTACTTTCATCTCTTGGCCCAAGGGGGGACTGGAAGCTAAATCATACAATGAACACTTGCAGGAACTGGGCTTGGCTAGTCTAGTGAAGAGAAGGACCAGGGGAGACATGAGAGCAGCCCTCCAACATTTGAGGGGCTGCCCCAGAAAGGAGGAGGGAGATCAACCTATTTTGCAAAGCACCCGAAGGCCAGACAAGGAATAATGGATGGAAACTGACCAAGGAGAGATTCAAACCTAAAAACAAGGAGGAATTCTCTGAGAGTGAGAACAATCAACCAATGGAGCAGAAGTTGCCTTTGGAAGTTGTGGGAGCTTCATCACTGGAGGCTTTCAAGAAGAGACAGGACTGCCATCTGTCAGATATCTTCCAGCTCTGTTATTCTGTTAAATGCAATGCAGTTAGGAAATCAAAACATTGGGGCCAATGGGCACCTTTGGGACTTAAGCATCTAGCAGGAGCACTAATGAACCCATGGCTGTATTTAGCACAACCTGTTACCACACAGCCCCATCCCAGAAGACAAATGAGCCTTCATTTCAGCATCTTATTAATCCAGCAGGACCTTTTTATGAGTTGAAAGCCATCCCTTCCAACTCTCCTATTATTCTGTTGAAAATCTATTCCTGTAACTGTGATGGCCTTGATGTTTGAGTCTGGCTTACCTCCTTCAACATAGCAGATCAAAGTTCCTATCTGCATTCTACAGGTAGCCCTTGAGTTACAACAGTTTCATTGGTGGCCGATCAAAGTTACAGCAGCACTGAAAAAAGTGACTTGGCCAACTTCACATAACTGTCGCAACAACTGTGGTCACATGATCAAAATTCAGACGCTTGGCAACGCTTCTATTTATGACGGTTGCAGTGCCCAGAGTCATGGGATCTCCTTTTGCAACCTTCTAACAAGCAGTCAATGGAGAAGTCACAACTGTGTTACTGACAACTTCAGTGATTCACTTAACAAGAATGGCCATAAAAGGGCCACGCTCTCAACAACTGTCTCGCTTAGCAATAATTTTTTTTTTGGTTCAGTTGTCTTCATAAGTCAAGTTATTATGAACTGTGTGCAGAGCTTCGGATCCAACCAAACTGGCTTTATTTCTATTCCTTGAAGACAGCTGGTCATTTGCATTCTTTTTAGAGAGCCGTTGAGGCCACTTGGAGGGTTATCTGTGTCCTTGGGGTCACTTGAGTAGTGCAAATGGGTGTGGAGCAGTGGTGGGTTTCAAATTTTTTTAGAACCTTTTCTGTAGGTGTGGCCTGCTTTGTGGGAGTGGCTTCCCGGCCATGTGACTGGGAGGGAGTGACAAACTTGTAAAATGTGGTGAAACTCATTTAACAACGCTCTTGCTTAGCAACCAAAATGTTGACTCAGAAACTCTGGCATTTGAAGCATGCAAGTCTTAAAGCTGTCAAGTTACAAGGCCCTTGGTCCCCTAACCCTTTAGAAAAAAAAACCCCAGCGGTGTTCAACCTTGACAGCTTTAAGACTTGTGGACTTCAACTCCCAGAATTCCTCCTCTCGCCCTTCATGATGTGCGGACGGGAGGGGGGAAGGAGCTGGAATCGGTTTTAAACGGCACTGTAGATTTGTGGAACCTCCTCTATAGAAGAGGTTAGAACTGGCAGGAACCCACCCCTGGTGTGGAGCCTCCTTAGAACTGCTAGAAGGAATGTATTGTGGAGCTGTGCTTTCTGCAAGAAGTTACCTGCATCTCATACTGAAGCGCAAATAGTTCCTGTAGCCGGCAATTGTTTGAGTTTGTCTCCGTAACTGCTGCCTCCGTTTCTCCGCCCTTCGTTGCCTGGCGTCAGGGACAAACTGCCTTTGATCCTCCCCACCGTTCCATGCCTCAGCCGCCTCCTGGTGGCCAACCAGCCTCTCTGGTCCCTGCTCTGAGTCAGAACCCTGCCCAGGGTCCTCCATATCTTCCATGGCAGACTCATATGGTTCCTCACTATCTGAGTCC